CTCTCCGAGCCATGTGAGCGCACAGCCCACTAGGCTAGACATGCCACGGAGTGTTTCAATCTCTGGGCTGTCAGGTCAAGCCGTCAGCCATAGCATGACGGGACCACAACTCTCGTGTTAGACACGCAACACCCGCTGGGCCATCCTGGTCAGGATCTGCACCCCAAGATATTTGAGAGCCAGCATGACAATTCCAAATCCTTGGTAGCATGTCACCATCTCAAAATAAATGCCCCATACAGTATATACATCGTTAACAATGACAGCACAAGCTATACATTAACAATCACGAACAAAGCTCAATACAAACCATACATTGTTAACAATCACAAGCAAAGTTTCGCACACACATTGACAACACTCACGAGCGAAGCTCCACACAGTTTACCCAACAACAATCACGACTCCCCGTCGACAACGAAGAGAATGTCAACAAAAAAAATCATTAATCCGGAGCGCGTAAATGTAGGAAGTGTCAGGGGCCTGGTCTCCTGACCTCCAACCTTTGGCCAGAGCAGCAGAGGCGGCGACCAGCGTGTCGGTCGATGTGCCGGCCCCGGCGCCGGTTACAGTAAGAATGGCGCTCTCACTGTCCGGTCGCAGCGCTGATGACGCGGTATGCTAGGTTGAAGCCAGCTGTCGTCCGGCAGTGAAGGTCGCAGCGCTGATGACGCGGCGTTGTTTGATTGGGCCACTCTGGGCCTGGAAGTGACGTTGCTCCCAGCGGTCATTTCTCCTCCGGTGGAAGTGATGTCATTCCCGGAAGTATCCCCCACCCCCGGCACGGGAATGCCGGTGGCGTCCACCATGCCCGTGGCGGCGGCGGGCTCAGGCGAGCGCTGCGCCTCTTCTCTCCCTCCCGCCATCGCCTGTGAGCGCCGCATCTCACCCAGGAGGGAGGCGGTGGCGCAAAGCAGCTCTGCGAGGCGAAGCAGCGCCTCTTTCATCCCTGCTCCCGACGCTGGAGAGGGGACGGTCGGCGGAGCAGACAGCTGCTTAGCCGGCGGTGCGGCGTGGTTGTCGGCCAGCGGTGCAGCGTCGCTGTCGGCCGGCGTTGGCCGCCCCATCGCTGCCTGCTCCTCGACATCGCCGTCAGGACTGAAGGTACGTGGCTTACTTCTTGTCTCCATAGCCACTTCTGACGCCAAATGTAACGGGTTCCGGAGACACTTGTAGAGGTAACTTGTTTATTACAACCCAACACTCTCCAACAGTCCAACTCTCCAACAGTCCTGACTCTCCAACACTCCTGATACTCTGTTACAGCCTAGGTACACAGCCTAGGTACACAGCCTAGATACTCTACTCTGGCTACGCTCTGGAACTCGCCCTCACAAGGTCGTAGAGTCGGGAGTTCCAGAGTCCCACCATTGGCTCTCACAGTGTCCCAGGGTCCTCCGATGGCTGGTCTTGGGTCTTGGGTCTTGAGCTACGACTGGGCCCTGATCGTCCAGGGAGCTCCCCTTTTATGCCTGGTCCAACGAGGGGTGGGGCCGTGTGCGCCACCAGACATCCCACAGAGCACACACAGCCCCCCCCCGTTGGCGGCGCCAAGAGGCTTAAGCGCCTGAGAACCCAACGCCTGGTGCCAAGAGGCTTAAGCGTCTGGACCCGCCTGGGAACCCAACGCCTGGTGCCAAGAGGCTTAAGCGCCTGGCCCACCCAGGGTCCCAGAGCCCCCAGCAGGCCCTCCCTTCTTATGTCACTACATATGTGTGAGTGCATTTGTGTGTGTAACTCTATGTGTGTGTGTCAGTCCATTTGTGTGTAACTACATGTGTGTCTGCCTTTTTCGCCCGGGCAACGTCGGGTACTTACCGCTAGTACCAAATAAATGAAACTGAAACTATCAACTGACGGTTAATTAACAATTTATTCCTAAATATAATCGCTAGTTCATTGTGACTGCTTCAGCATCCACGCCTCATCACTGGACTTGAGCCCGTCTCATTGACATAATTTATTTAGTTACACCGCCGCTCGTTGGGGGAGGGGATTGTGTGTTCAAACCCTCTAGTGACGTCATGTCACCGCTTGCTTCCGCGTGACGTCACGACATATCCATAAGCTGCTGCACCGCGCGCGTGCTCTAAGATCCGAGGTGAGAAGTTAACATCGTGGTGGTTGTTGTCGTGGTGGTTATTGTTGTTACCCAGGTAGAGCCTCTCTCCGTCTCTCTCTCGTAGGGATATCAATTGAGTAGCTGCGAGTATGGAATCGATGTCCAGGTTGGAACATTACAACGCGGGGTTTAGCCACGCGGGGCCTTGCCGCCTGCCCTCGCCTGATTGCATTTGCTTTAATCTTTTGCTTAAGTTTAATTCGTCTTCATCTGGCTCACTACTTCATGGGACCTCCTTTGCCAGTAGCAAAATATAAGAAGAGGTTTTTTCCCCTTTTTTGGCAACAAAACAGGTGTTAAGATATTCTTGGTTCTTTCGGTGAAGTCACATAGAAGGGAAATAAAGTAATACAATTTCTTGCTGTGGATTTCACATCTGACGATGATTGCTCGTGTTGCAGTCAAAACGTGAGAATTTTATTTATTTCATTTTTCTTCTACGTGACTAGGTGTGAAAAACAGCAAGAATTTTTTTCAAAATTTTGGAAAATTTTCGTGCTGTTTTTCACACCTGACGATGATTGCTCGTGTTGCAGTCGAAATGTGAGAATTTTTTTTATTTCATTGTTTTTCTTCTACATGACTTTAGGTGTGAAAAACAGCAAGAAAATTTTTCTAAATTTTGGAAAATTGTCTTGCTGTGTTTTTCACAGCTGACGATGATTGCTCGTGTTGCAGTCGAAACGTCGTGACATGTTTAATTTTTTTATTTTATTGTTTTTCTTCTACGTGACTTTATTGTTTTTCTTCTACGTGACTTTCGGTGTGAAAAACAGCAAGAAAATTTAGGAAAATTTTCTTGCTGTGTTTATCACACCTGACGATGATTGATTGTGTTGCAGTCGAAACGTCGTGAGAATTTTTATTTTTTTATTTTATTGTTTTTCTTCTACGTTACTTTAGGTGTGAAAAACAGCAAGAAATTTTTGGAAAATTTTCTTGCCGTGTTTTCACACCCGACGATGATTGCTCGTGTTGCAGTTGAAAAGTCGTGAGAAATGTTTTTAGTTTATTGTTTTTCTTCAACGTGACTTTAGGTGTGAAAAACAGCCAGAAAATTTATGAAAATTTTGGAAAATTGTCTTGCTTTGTTTTTCACATCTGATGATGATTGCTCGTGTTGCAATCGAAACGTTGTGAGAAATTTTAATTGTTTCATATTTTATTATTTCCCTTCTACTTGATGACTTTACCGAAAGAATCAAGAATATGAATCCCTGCAGTCACGAAAGCTTTAAATAAAAATTTAGGTGTTAAGATGTTAAAACGCCGAACTGAAACCTCTTGCAAGGAATCGTGTCTGCATTAACCACAATATACTCGCGATCAATATGCAAACAAAACACATGCTGTGATAATCTGTGCATTGTCTGTGAAACTGATTGGTCCAAAACCAGAGACGGCTTTCTTTCGAGCCTAGTCTCAAACGGTGTTAGACCAGAGGACAGCGCCAAAAGGCGTACACAGCACAAAGACAACACCACCATCAGAACAATGACAGCTCGGGGTGAGCAGCTACATCATGGGACCTCCTTTCCCAGTAGAAAAATATAAGAAGAGGCTTTTCCCCTTTTATCATTTCCAGATTTGTACAATTCTTTTTGTCTTGGGATATTTTTTGTATACGGTTTCTCAGTATTTATTTCAATTGGTTGGACTAGCTCCACCCACCTACCTTGATGCACCCATCTCAGGCCTATATAAGACCTTGTCTCAACAGCTTTTTCTCTCACCTGAAGACGATTGCTTGTGTTGCGATCGAAACGTCATGATCTATTATTTTCTATGTACGCGATTTGACCGAAAGACCCAAAGAGTATTACTTCCTGCAGTCAATAAAGCTTTAAATCAATAAATAATTATGTAGTTTGAGAAGCTCCCAATGCACCATTGGAACCACCTTTGCCAGTAGCAAAATATGATTATTGTTTTTACCCTTTTATCTGGCAACAAAACTGACACCTTTTTTTTACAAGGAGTCATGTTTGCATTGACCACAATACCTGCGGTCAGAATGCAAAAAAAAACACAACTCTGATAATGTATGCACTGTCCTTGAAATTGATTGGTCCACACCCGAGACAGCTTTTCTTAGAGCCTTGTCTCACATGGTGTTGGACCAGATGACGCCAAAAGGCGTACAACTCAAAGACAATGCACTATCAGAGTATGAGAGCTCGGGGTAAGCATTTACACCATTGGAACCTCCTTTGCCAGTAGCAAAATATGATAATTGTTTTTTTACCCTTTTATTTGGCAACAAAACTGACACCTTTTTTGAGTTGTACGCCTTTTGGCGTCATCTGGTCCAATGAAGAGGTCGGATGTGCGATGCCCACATGAATAGGTGGAACGCTGGGTTCCTAAAAACCCAGCAAGACAGTGGGGAGCACAGCTGGTTCATCTGTCAGTCATCCCTTGACACCTGGATCATTACCTGCTGTCAAGGAATCCACACTTACATGGCCTTAAATTGCACCTATCATGGCATTAGCACTGGGATAAGGTTACTTGCAATTCGTCATGAATGTTGGATTTTTGTTTAGATATGTTAATGATGCATGTGAAATGTATGTGTATTTTAGAGTTTATCTTTGTGGGGAGATGTGGTGCAGTTATTTCACTGCATTATGAACTCAACAATTAGTTTGATTACCACTGCCAGCAAACATGATTGATAAGTGAAAGCTGAATTGCTTGTGGGCCTCTGCTATGTTGATTGATCTTAAATTAACTACATGGTGAAGGGAGGAAGCGTCAATACTAAGCAGATGAAGGCGGCCAGGAATGGTTCTGGACACACCACCACTTTTTACCATGCCAGTGTGTGACAGTGTCAAGTTTGTATTTGCAGTAAATTATATTAACTATTGAGCATGGAGGTTAAATCAAAACAATCGCTTATTTTAGTTTCCCTCTGGAACTTTTTGGAAGAATGGAAACAGGAAATTAACAGCACATATGCCGCTGAAGTTATATCTGTTCATCCAAGCATTCAAGCAAATCTGAGCCTGGCTTCACACCTCTAAAGTTTCGATTGAACATTTATTTATGCATTTCTGCATAATACAATTAGTATTATTCCCAACAGCCTTTGCTATGTTAGCTGATATTTGCTTTTATAAATACTACTTTTGCACCCAGGCTGCTGAAATTGTGTGCTTGGTGTTTTGGTCCAACATTTATTTTGAAGATACTAGGGCTTCCAGGCATATTTTTAACCTTTTGCCCATGTGATGAATTGTGGATAATCTTGAATATATGGATAAATATAGACGTGTAAGGCATGTGTGACTGTATATATTCATTCCTCTGTGCCTCGATACTGATGAAGATGGTGTGGACATTTTTTTCTGTCTGCAGCTGATCCTTCTTCTGATGCTTCCTCTGCAGAATTGGTCTGATGGAGCAAAGGCACTCATCGCAGCTCAGTAGACAAAGACAACAATGGGACCAGTATGCAAACAGCATGGATTGTACTGGAAATTTTACACAAGACCAGAGATCTCCAACGGGAGAGAAACCCTTCAAGTGCACTGTGTGTGGGAAGGCATTTTCAGGTTCATTTAATCTTAAAAAACACCAGAGAACACACACAGGAGAGAAACCCTTCAGGTGTAGTGTGTGTGGGAAGGAATTTTCATTTTCATCTGGTCTTAAAAAACACGAGAGAACACACACAGGAGAGAAACCCTTCAAGTGCACTGTGTGTGGGAAGGCATTTTCAAGTTCATATTATCTTAAGATACACCAGAGAACACACACAGGAGATAAACCCTTCAAGTGCAGTGTGTGTGAGATGGCATTTTCACATTCATCTAATCTTAAAATCCACCAGAGAATACACACAGGAGAGAAACCCTTCAAGTGCAGTGTGTGTGAGATGGCATTTTCACAGTTATCTAATCTTACAATCCACCAGAGAACGCACAAAGGAGAGAACCCCTTCAAGTGCGGTGTGTGTGAGATGGCATTTTCACATTCATCAAATCTTAAAATGCACGAGAGAACGCACACAGTAGAGAAACCCTTTAAGTGCAGTGTGTGTGGGAAGGCATTTTCACGTTCGTCTTATTTTAAAATACACCAGAGAATACACACAGGAGAGAAACCCTTCAAGTGCACTGTGTGCGGGAAGGCATTTGCACAGACAACACAGCTTAATACACACCAGATAACACACTGGCATCAGAAGACCCCCAAGGAGTGTAGTCTGAAATCGACTTGTGAAAGTCAAAGTGCTGCAATGAGCCCATCCCTCCTGAAAAAAGAACTAGAAATAAATTCCAGCTTGGACACAATGAAATGTATCAAGGTGACATTTGAAGAGGCGACGGTGAAGAGCGAAGAAGTGACAGTGAAGAGCGAAAAAGTGAAGGTCAAATGTGAAGATGAACATTCAACTCCAAAATCGGACCTTCACATCAATGGAGGCAACGTGAAGCAGGAGGAGAATTCTGACTGTGAGGCAGAGCGAGGCAACTCCCAGCAGTTTGTGGAAGTGGAGGTGTGGGTGGACTTCTTAGACAATAAAAGGTCAAATGGAGAACCTGTAGATGTGTAAGCTTGAGACAATGAAGCTGCAATAGATTCACATTTGTCACAGGCCTTTAATGAAAAGAACGTGAAGTTGAACACTCCATTCCTAGGTTCAACCTGCAGAGTAAGAGCGGTCAGTATTTGCAGAACTGTGGGTTGGGTAGATCTCTAACTAGGAGCGAGAGCCAATAAACTCCCAAGCATTCACTATGTTATAATATTAGCATTTATATGGGGCTCGCTTAATCGCCTCAGCAACTCGGAGTTTTGTATCATATCTCATCACAAACACTCGAAGAGCACGCCTTTTGGAGTCCTCTGAATTATCACCTTTTGATACTCGGCTCGAAAGAAAGCTGTTTCTGGTGTGGACCAATCAGTTTCAAAGATAATGCATATGTTTTGTCCTATGACTAACCACGGCGATCCGAGGGGAGAGACTACTGCGAGTTACAGAAGACTACAAGCGACAGAGTACTGCGACGGACAGACTCCGGGGCAAGGCCTCGATATCAACAATGGGTGTTGTGTCTCGCAGAGAAGAGGGGCGAGGTGATGCTCTGTGCGAGAGTTCGGCATGGACCGACAGAGTATCGCTGAGAGTTTTATTCTACATTTATCCTGATGTTTTCAGTTGCTTGCAAAGTCAAGGATTGCGATAAGTTGTATTGTACTAAGCTTTCGCAGTTGTTCAAGAGGTGTGCGAATACAATTTACAAGTTTTGAGAGTGAGTTCCAGCTTTCACGAGCAGCTGCGATCGGCAGGCTCCGGGGAACCTGCCCTCTTGACTGGCACATCGTCAACGAGCTGCACCAGCAGAAGCCACGAGTCCACGAAATCAACGCAAAGAGTTGACTTACTGCAAGCAGCAAGCTCTGGGGTGGGACTCTGCAATCAACCAAGGATGAAGAGGCTTGCCGAGTAGCAATTGGTCACCAAGTACGAGCTCGGCGCTGACGGAAGAAGTATCGCTCAAAGTTATTCTACACTGAGTGCCAGCTCCCACGAGCAGCTGCAGCCCGAGAGATAGAGTGACGAGCAACGACGAGCAATCAACCGGGAGAAAGGGTGGAAGCCCAAGCATCGACCAAGCCAGCATCGCAGAGAACCAGCTGCACGCACAACTAGGCATCGCCAGAGAGCACGGAGCCGGAGAGAGAGCGCAGCAGCGCCACCGAGCAAGGGTGTCAGCTGCCAGCGGACGAGCGGCGAGCGCTGTCGAGCACTTTCAAAGACGAGCATTGTGCCGACTCAGCTCATCCAGCAGGGGAAAGAGCCTGACCAGCCGCCCGTGAGGAAGAGGAGAGCGCCGTGGGTTCGACCCACACGCACCGACCAGCACCAGCTGTGAACCAAGACAAGAGTGAGGAACGGCGACCAGCAGACGAGCTGCGGGCGCTATCTGACGACGGAATCATCGCGCGCCGCCGACGGCAAGCGTCGTGCCGACTCTTCATCCAGCAGTGGGCAGCAGCTCCAGCTGCCGCCGAGCGAGAGAGAGAGCGAGGAAGCTGTGTGTATGACCCTCCCCCACACTCACATACTCACCACGTATCACCCAGCGTCTGCTTGATGCAAAGAATTGATCAAGGAGACAAAACCACCAAACACACACACACCGCACATACCGGGACTAATAATAAGAAGAATGATAAGAGTGCGTCAACTATTAGCTGATAATGAAGAACATTGCTGCCCATTGAGTCACATGGATACGGTCGTTGAGAAGTATTTTAGTCATTCTTTTTGTTAATTTTAACTGTACCGATGAATTCATTGACGAAACTTAACGTTTATAAACCTACGTTACGAATCCACACACTCACAGGGAGACTATTGTGTTGAAATTTTTATTTTGATCACAGAATCTTGCCCGCGAATTTATTGAAGCCTTAGCCAATTGATAAGCATTTGCTGAAGCAGACACACTGCCGCACACCATTGTTCCAAGACGTTTAGTTAATTACATAATCTACCAATGAATTCATTGAGGTCTACTTTTGCACTCGGGACATGTTTCTTTATTGCTGTTAGTATGAATATTGTCACATTTATTTTTAAGGACTTTTTTCCTATGCTCGTGTTACTCTGAGGAATTAACCGATTGCTCTGTTACCCAGTTAACAACGCAATCATTGAGGGTTAAATGTACGGATCAATGAGGAGCACATCTCCAGGAGTACTGTATTGACAATTCCAAGCATAAGAGTTCGCATATTAGAGTGTTATGTTTTTGTTTAGAAATTAAAGTTGCTTAACACAGAAGTGTCTGAGTGGTTCCTTCCTAAGTTCATGCATAATGATCTTAATTATAAGAACTGTGTTCTTTGGCGAGATCTGAATTCTGAGACCTGATAGAATTACACTAAAACATAATCAGTAAAAGTTAAAGCGAGAATCTTTGTATTATCACAATTAGTAAGAAGACAATGTTTTCATGTACCAGTGTGGGGGGGGGGGGGGGGTGGGTTTTATGATGATTCAAGCACATTATATTTGTTGTGCACTTTATTTATATTATTACATTGTAATATGAAATAATTATACAACTCACCATAATGCAGAATCAGTGGGAACCGTGAGCTTGTTTTCCTGTAACTAGATGGTCCCATCGGGGGTGATGGGAGACGGTGACACCCGAAACGTGTTGCCTATGTCCAGTCTACTCCATAATCTCGTTTTGGTTGCTGTCACTGCAGAAAACCCTGCTTCACAAAGATAGGATGTTGGAAATGGAAGCAGGCTTTTCAGTGCTTTTGTGACAATATCAGGATATTCCGCCTTGACTTTAATCCAGAACGTATCGAGATTTGAAATTGTCTCAAACATACTTTTAAGGCCACCTTCATTTGCGATCTCAAGCAGTTGATCCTCTTCTAGCACAGACAGTCGATTCACCTGGCTTATTCACAAATGGGTCGCGGGTCCATTCCTTCCCAGTTCGTGGGTCTTTTGTGGTTGGGAAGTAATGCTCAAACTCTTTTAAAAGCTGAGATAGCTTTTAATGCACCAGCTGGGAGAAAGGCCCTGGCTCAGTCTCTTTCAAAATCTCTGCTAGTGTTTGAAACATGTCAAAAGTTCCAATGTTCACTCGTCGCCCCCATAATTCCAGTTTGGCTTTGAATTAAGCCACTTTATCTGCCGAATTGAACAGAGTTGTCGATCTCCCCTGAAATTACAGATTGAGTACGTTGAGCAGGCTGATTATGTCACACAAGTGAGCAAGTTTTACGACCCATTCTGTGTCACTGAGATGTTCTGCCAGTGGTGACTGTTTTTGTAAAAGATATCTCTGGAGTGGCTCTCGCAACTCAAAAACTCTGGCCAGTGATTTACCTTTAGAAAGCCATCTCACTTCTGTGTTTTAGAGATGATGTGTGGTGAGCGCGCTGCGCTACGAACCCGGCGACCCGAGTTCAATTCCCGCTCACGGCCACAACGATTATTTTACTGGTCCTGGGCTTCCCCTAGGTCGACTCAACCTCAAACGAGTAACTGATGTGGTGTGTGAACATCGCCACTGGGGAGACCAAAGGCGGCCGGGCGTGGTGAATCCAAGTCCCGGGCGAAGCCGGGGAAGTCAAGCTAGTCTTCTATATATGAAAGGAAAATTTGTGAATGTGTTGTCTGTTCAAAATGTTTAGCGTACTTCCCGACATGCAACAAACTTGAAATTTGCCATGTGGGTACTTTGCAAAATGTACACCATGCACAAATTATAAAAATACACTTTTGTATTTGGGGGAGGGGGGGGGGGGGAAATGACCATGAAGTGTGTGGCGAAAATCGATATCTGCTGAGCGTTTGTGGTATCCATCAAACGGGAATAAGCCGATTCTAAAGAAATCTACAACCTTAGATTCCTTTGCGCGATCGTAAGTTTATTTTCCACCGCACGTTGGGTTTTATTTTAATTTTAATTAATGAGATAATCTTCTTGGTTCTCTCGGTAAAGTCACGTAGAAGGGAAGTAATAAAATAATAAAAAGAAATAAGTATATTGTGCTTTTTTAAAGAATATTTTATTTATTATTTGTTAATATGTATTATTTTAATTTTATTACTTCCCTTCTACGTGACTTTACCGAAAGAACCAAGAAGATGAATCCCTGCAGTCACGAAAGCTTTAAATCGAAATTTAATGAGATAATCATCAAAAACAATTCAGTTGTATATGTTATGTTTTTAAGTTTTTTGAGAAGTTTTGCAATAAATGTTTCCCCCGGGCAACGCCGGATGCTTCCCGCTAGTACCTAATAAATGCAACTGAAACTATCAACTGGCGGTTAATTAACATAATTTATTCATGCTTAATCACTGCACATGAGTCCGTATCATTAACATAATTTATTCAGTTACACCGTCGATCGTTGGGGAGGGGATTGTGTGTTGAACCCCGTAAGTGACGTCATGTCACCTGCTGCCGCGTGACGTCACGAGCTGCTACACCGCGCTCGCTCTCACAGATCCGAGGTGAGAAGTCAACATCGTGGTTGTTGTTGTTTACCCAGGTAGAGCCTCTCCCCGTCTCTCTCTCGTAAGGATATCAATTGAGTAGCAGCGAGTATGGAATCGATGTCCAGGTTGGAACATTACAACGCGAGGCCTCGCCACGCGGGGCCTTGCCTCCTGCCCTCGCCTGATTGCATTTGCTTTAATCCTCTGCTTAAGTTTAATTCGTCTTCATCTGGCTCACTACTTCATGCGACCTCCTTTGCCAGTAGCAACATATAAGAAGAGGTTTTTTCCCTTTTTTGGCAACAAAACAGGTGTTAAGATATTCTTGGTTCTTTCGGTAAAGTCACATAGAAGGGAAATAATAAAATAATAAATGTTTTTCACGGCTGTCGATGATTGCTCGTGTTGCAGTCGAAACGTCATGAAAATTTTTATATTTTTTATTTTATTATTTCCCTTCTACCTGATGACTTTACCAAAAGAACCAAGAATATGAATCCCTGCAGTCAGGAAAGCTTCAAATCAAAATTTAGGTGTTAAGATGTTAAAACGCCGAACTGAAACCTCTTGCAAGGAATCGTGTCTGCATTAACCACAATATACTCGCGATCAATATGCAAACAAAACACATGCTGTGATAATCTGTGCATTGTCTGTGAAACTGATTGGTCCAAAACCAGAGACGGCTTTCTTTCGAGCCTAGTCTCAAACGGTGTTAGACCAGAGGACAGCGCCAAAAGGCGTACACAGCACAAAGACAACGCCACCATCAGAACAATGACAGCTCGGGGTGAGCAGCTACATCATGGGACCTCCTTTCCCAGTAGCAAATATAAGAAGAAGCTTTTCCCCTTTTATCATTTACAGATTTATACAATTTTTTGTCTTGGGATATTTTTTGTATACGGTTTCTCCGTGTTTATTTCAATTGGTTGGACCATCTCTAGCTCCACCCACCTACCTTGATGCACCCATCTCAGGCCTATATAAGACCTTGTCTCAGCAGCTTTTTCTCTCACCTGAAGACGATTGCTTGTGTTGCGATCGAAAAGTTGTGATCTATTTTCTATGTACGCGACTTGACCGAAAGACCCAAAGAGTATAATTCCTGCAGTCACGAAAGCTTTAAATCAATAAATAACTACGTAGTTTGAGAAGCTCCCAATGCACAATTGGAACCTCCTTTGCCAGTAGCAAAATATGATAATTGTTTTTTTACCCTTTTATCTGGCAACAAAACTGACACCTTTTTTTACAAGGAGTCATGTTTGCATTGACCACAATACCTGCGGTCAGAATGCAAACAAAAATACAACTCTGATAATGTATGCACTGTCCTTGAAATTGATTGGTCCACACCCGAGACAGCTTTTCTTAGAGTCTAGTCTCACATGGTGTTGGACCAGATGACGCCAAAAGGCGTACAACTCAAAGACAATGTACCATCAGAGTATGAGAGCTCGGGGTACGCATTTACACCATTGGAACCTCCTTTGCTAGTAGCAAAATATAATTGTTTTTTTACCCTTTTATCTGGCAACAAAACTGACACCTTTTTTCAGTTGTACGCCTTTGGCGTCATCTGGTCCAACACCATCACAGGACCCTGCGGGGTGGGCTGGTAGGAATAATACTTAGTACCGGTACAGGGATATCGACCGGGTATAGAGGAGTTAAAGAAAAAATTACTCTATTCTAGTGTAACGTTAATTAAAAGTGTTTGTTTTGACAAGAAACGCTGTGAGATTTAAAGACCCCCTCAACACCACCCTCAACACCATCCCTCCCACCAGCCCTCACCACCCCCCCCCCCCACCCCCCACCACCACCCAACCCCACCACCACCACCCCACCACCACCTTCTGCACTAGGCCTCGCGAAGCCTGCCGCACTAGGCCTCGCGAAGCCTGCCGCACTAGGCCTCGCGAAGCCTACCGCACTAGGCCTCGCGCCGTGCTTTTCGTGCACAAATAAGGCGATTAAATGTATCTCGTCTCTGTGTTAATAAATGTTTCTTGTCTCTGTTAAAAAAACGTTCTGCGTTTCAGTAAAGTAAATTTTTTTTTAATAAACGTGCTTCGTTTTCTCTGTGTTAATAAGCCTGCCGCACTAGGCCTCGTGAAGCCTGCCGCACTAGGCCTCGTGCCGTGCTTTTCGTGCACAAATAAGGCGATTAAATGTATCTCGTCTCTGTGTTAATAAATGTTTCTTGTCTCTGTTAAAAAACGTGCTGCGTTTCAGTAAAGTAAATTTTTTTTTTAAATAAACGTGCTGCGTTTCATCTCTGTGTTAATAAGCCTGCCGCACTAGGCCTCGCGAAGCCTGCCGCACTAGGCCTCGCGCCGTGCTTTTCGTGCACAAATAAGGTGATTAAATGTATCTTGTCTCTGTTAATAAATGTTTCTTGTCTCTGTGATAAAAAAACGTGCTGCGTTTCAGTAAAGTAATTTTTTTTAAAAACGTGCTGCGTTTCAGTAAAGTAATTTTGAAGCGAAGTTTAAAGTTTTGCCGTGATGCGCCGGAAGCGACGGCCATCTTGTTTAATTCACAGATCGCAGGGGGAGCGGGCGGCCATCTTGTCGGACAGGGTCATGCCAAGTGTTTGCATTAGGGGGCGATGTTGATACACGGACGGACGGACGGATGGACGGACGGACACATTAATCTATTGGTGGTCTGGTCCACTTCGTTCCTACCAGTAATAACTGCCCTGCAGGTATGCTGCAGGGCAGTTAATAGATATTTTCTCTGCAGCAACGATGAGGTCGGAAGAGCGACGCCCACATGATTAGGTGGAACTCTGGGTTCCTAAAACCCAGCAAGACATTGGGGAGCACAGCTGGTTCATCTGTCAGTCATCCCTTGACACCTGGGTCATTCCTATTACCTGCTGACAAGGAATCCACACTTACATGGCCTTAAATTGCACCTATCATGGCATTAGCACTGGGATAAGGTTACTTGCAATTCGTCATGAATGGTGGATTTTTGTTTATATATGTTAATGATGCATGTGAAATGTAAGTGTATTTTAGAGTTTATCTTTGTGGGGAGCTGTGGTGCATTATTTCACTGCATTATGAACTCAACAATTAGTTTGATTATCACCGACAGCAAACATGATTGAACAGGACGCTGCGGGGTGGGCTGGTAGGAACGAATAACCAAAGAATATAAACATAATATATTATTACACTTGTTTAGCCAGGAAAGCCCCACTGAGTCTTAAAGGTTTTTGTAGGGTCCTGCCAAGTGTTTGCAGTAGGGGGCGATGTTGCTACACCGAATCGGACGATACGAAGGGAGAGTGTGAGGCCTAGTTCTAGGCTTGAGGCCTAGCTGTAGGCGTTAGGCTGCTGTGAGTTAATTTTTTATTTAAATGTTTTAATTATTTATGTAAAAGCTTAAAATGTAAATGTTTCTATTTAAAAACATCAGGGAATGTAACATTGTTAAACATTAACTCCCTTTCACACACGCGGGGGTACGATACGAAGGGAGAGTTTGAGGCCTAATTCTAGGCTTTAGGCTTAGCTGTAGGCTTTAGGCCGCCGTGAGTTAATTTTTAATTTAAATGTTTTTATTATTTATGTAAAAGCTTTAAATTTAAATGTTTTTATTTAAAAGCATCAGGGAATGTAACATTGTTAAACATTAACTCCCTTGCACACACGCGGGGGTACGATACGAAGGGAGAGTTTGAGGTGTAGTTTGAGGCTTTAGGCCTAGCTGTAGGCTTTAGGGCGCAGTGAGTTCAATTTTAATTTAAAAGTTTTAATTAAAAGCTATCTCAGGGAATTATAAGGGAATGTTACACTTGTTTAGCCAGGAAAGCCTAATTTATTTAAATGTTTTAATTAAAAGCTATCTGAGGGAATTATAAGGGAATGTTACACTTGTTTAGCCAGGAAAGCGTCACTGAGTCTAAAGGTTTTTGTAGGGTCATGCCAAGTGTTTGCAGTAGGGGGCGATGTTGCTACACGGATGGACGGACGGACGATATAATCTGTTGTAGGCTGGTCCACTTCGTTCCTACCAGTATAAGTAAAAGCTGAACTGCTTGTGGGCCTCTGCTATGTTGATTGATCTTAAATATATGCTGCTGAAGTTAAATCTGTTCATCCAAGCATTCAAGCAAATCTGAGCCTGGCCTCACACCTCTAAAGTTGCGATTGAACATTTGTTTATGCATTTCTGCATAATACAAATAGTATTATTCCCAACAGCCTTTGCTATGTTAGCTGAATTTTGCTTTTATAAATACTACTTTTGCAGCCAGGCTGCCGAAATTGTGTGCTTGGTGTTTTGTGTTAACATTTATTTTGAAGATACTATGGCTTCCAGGCATATTTATAACCTTTGGCCCTCTCATTGTGTGCCTTAACAGCCCGTGTGATGAATTGGGGATAATCTTGAATATGTGGATAAATATAGATGTGTAAGTCATGTGTGACTGTGTATATATTCATTCCTCTGTCCCTCAATACTGATGAAGATGGTGTGGACATTTTTTTCTGTCTGCAGCTGATGCTTCTTCTAATGTTTCCTCTGCAGAATTGGTCTGATGGAGCAAAGGCACTCAGCGCAGCTCAGTAGACAAAGACAACAATGGGACCAGTATGCAAACAGCATGGATTGTACTGGAAATTTTACACAGGACCAGAGATCTCCAACGGGAGAGAAAGCCTTCAAGTGCACTGTGTGTGGGAAGGCATTTTCAAGTTCATTTTATCTTAAAATACACCAGAGAACACACACAGGAGAGAAACCCTTTAAGTGCACTGCGTGTGAGAAGCCATTTTCAAGTTCATTTTATCTTAAACTACACCAGAAAACACACACAGGAGAGAAACCCTTCAAGTGCACTGTGTGTGAGAAGGCATTTTCAAGTTCATCTTATCTTAAAATACACCAGAGAATACACACAGGAGAAAAACCCTTCCAGTGCACTGTGTGTGAGAAGGCATTTTCACGTTCATCTTATCTTAAAAAACACCAGACAACACACAGAGGAGAGAAACCCTTCAGGTGTACTGTGTGTGAGAAGGCATTTTCAAATTCATTTTATCTTGAAATACACCAGAGAACACACACAGGAGAGAAGCCCTTCAGGTGCACTGTATGTGGGAAGGCATTTTCACGTTCATCGCATCTTAAAAAACACCAGAGAACACACACAGGAGAGAAACCCTTCAAGTGCATTGTGTGTGGGAAGGCATTTGCACAGTCACCACAGCTTCATAGCCACCAGAGAACACACACAGTAGAGAAAGCCTTCAAGTGCTCTGTGTGTGGGAATGCATTTTCAAGTTCATCTTATCTTAAAATACACCAGAGAACACACACAGGAGAGATACCCTTCAAGTGCACTGTGTGTGAGAAGACATTTACATGGTCATCAGGTTTACAGATCCACCAGAGAACACACACAGGAGAGAACCCCTTCAGGTGTAGTGTGTGTGGGAAGGCATTTTCAAGTTCGTCTTATCTTAAAATACACCAGAGAACACACACAGGAGATGAACCCTTCAAGTGCAGTGTGTGTGAGATGGCATTTTCACATTCATCAAATCTTAAAATGCACCAGAGAACGCACACAGGAGTGAAACCCTTCATGTGCAGTGTGTGTGGGAAGGCATTTTCAAGTTCATATAATCTTAAAATACACCAGAGAACACACACAGGAGAGAAGCCCTTCAAGTGCATTGTGTGTGGGAAGGCATTTTCAAGTTCATATAATCTTAAAATACACCAGAGAACACATACAGGAGAGAAACCATTCAAGTGCACTTTGTGCGGGAAGGCGTTTGAACAGTCACCACATCTTCATAGGCACCAGAGAACACACGGGCATCAGAAGACCCCCAAGGAGTGTAGTCTGAAATCGACTTGTGAAAGTCAAAGTGCTGCAATGATCCCATCCCTCCTGAAAAAAGAACCAGAAGTAAATTCCAGCTTGGACACTATGACATGTATCAAGGTGAAATTTGAAGAGGCGACGGTGAAGAGCGAAGAAGTGACAGTGAAGAGCGAAGAAGTGAAGGTCAAATGTGAAGATGAACATTCAACTCCAAAATCGGACCTTCACATCAATGGAGGCAACGTGAAGCAGGAGGAGAATTCTGACTGTGAGGCAGAGCGAGGCAACTCCCAGCAGTTTGTGGAAGTGGAGGTGTGGGTGGACTTCTTAGACAATACAAAGTCAAATGGAGAACCTGTAGATGTGTAAGATTGAGACAATGAAGCTCACATTTGTCACAGGCCTTTAAGGAAAATAACTTGAAGTTGAACACTCCATTCCTATGTTCAACTTGCTGAGTAAGAGCAGTCAGTATTTGCGGCCCTGTGGGTTGGGTAGATCTCTAACTAGGAGCGAGAGCCAATAAGCTCCCAAGCATTCACTATGTTATAATAATATTAGCATTTATATAGTGCTTGCTTAATCGCCTCAGCAACTCGGAGTTTTGTATTATCTCATCACAAACACTCGAAGAGCACGCCTTTTGGTGTCCTCTGGATTATCACCGTTTGATACTAGGCTCGAAAGAAAGCTGTCTCTGGTGTGAACCAATCAGTTTCAAAGACAATGCATATATTGTGTCCTATGACTAACCACACGGCGATTCGAGGGGAGAGAATTTCACGTAAAAACAGAGGCACGACGCATACATAGAGACTACTGCAAGTTACAGAAGACTACAAGCGACAGAGAGTTCTGCGACGGGCAGACTCCGGAGCATGGCCTCGAGATCAACAATGGGTTTTGTGTCTCGCAGAGAAGAGGGGGCGAGGTGATGCTCGTTGCTGAGTTCGGCATGGACCGACAGAGTATCGCTGAGAGTTTTATTCTACATTTATCCTCATGTTTTGAGTCGCTTGCAAAGTCAAGGATTGCGATAAGTTGTATTGTACTAAGCTTTCACAGTTGTTTTAGAGGTGTGCAAATACAATTTACAAGTTTTGAGAGTGAGTTCCAGCTCCCACGAGCAGCTGCGATCGGCAGGCTCCGCGGAACCTGCCCCCGTGACTGGCACATCGTCAACGAGCTGCACCAGCAGAAGCCACGAGTCTACGAAATCAACACAAAGAGTTACTTACTGCAAGCAGCAAGCGCTGGGGTGGGACTCTGCAATCAACCAAGGATGAAGAGGCTTGCCGAGTAGCAATTGGTCACCGAGTACGAGCTCTGCGCTGACGGAAGAAGTATCGCTCAAAGTTATTCTACACTGAGTGCCAGCTACCACGAGCAGCTGCAGCCCGAGAGATAGTGTCGAGCAACGACGAGCAATCAACTGGGAGAAAGGGTGGAAGCCCAAGCATCGACCAAGCCAGCATCTTAGAGAACCAGCTGCACGCGCAACCAGGCATCGCCAGAGAGCACGGAGCCGGAGAGAGAGCGCAGCAGCGCCACCGAGCAAGGGTGTCAGCTGCCAGCGGACGAGCGGCGAGCGCTGTCGAGCACCTTGAAAGACAAGCATCGTGCCAACTCAGCTCATCCAGCAGGGGAAAGAGCCTGACCAGCCGCCTGTGAGGAAGAGGAGAGCGCCAGCGAGAGCGCCGTGGGTTCGACCTACACACACCGACCAGCACCAGCTGTGAACCAAGACAAGAGTGAAGAACGGCGACTAGCAGACGAGCTGCGGGCGCTATCTGACGACGGAATCATCGTGCACCGCCGACGTTGAGCGTCGTGCCGACTCTTCATTCAGCAGTGGGCAGCAGCTGCAGCTGCCGCCGAGCGAGAGAGAGCGAGGAAGCTGTGTGTATGACCCTCCCCCACCCTCGCATACCACGTATCATCCAGCGTCTACCTGACGCATAGAATTGATGAAGGAGACAAAACCACCAAACACACACATTCCGCACATACCGAGACTAATAATAATAAGAATAATGATAAGAGTGTGTCAAGTATTAGCTGATAGTGAAGAACATTGCTGCCCATTGAGTCACGTGGATACGGTCGTTGAGAAGTTTTTCAGTCGTTCTTTTTGTTAATTTTAACTGTACCGATGAATTCATTGACGAAACTAAACGTTTAGAAACCTACATTACGAATCCACACACTCACAGGGAGACTTGTGTTGAAATCTTTCTTTTGATCACAGAATCTTGCCCGCGAATTTATTGAAGCCTTAGCCAATTGATAAGCATTTGCTGAAGCAGACACACTGCCGCACACCATTGTTCCAAGACATTTAGTTAGATGAAACTGACATTTAGCTTATTACATAATCTACCAATGAATTCATTGAGGTCTACTTTTGCCTTCGGGACATGTTTCTTTATTGCCGTTCGTATGAATATCGTCACATTTATTTTTAAGGACTTTTTCCTATCGCCGTATATGCTCGTGTTACTCTGAGAAATTAACCGATTGCTCTGTTACCCAGTTTAACGTAATCATTGAGGGTTAAATGTACGAATCAATGAGCACATCTCCAGGAGTACTGTGTTGATGTGGGGGTCGCTAGTCCCCGAGATCCCTCCCTCGATAATGCTTACGGCCGGGCTAACATCATCACTTGCCCCCCCGCTGCTAAGCGAACCGCTGCTGGGTTCCTCACCCATGGTGTGGGAGCTGTTGCTCGAGGATTCCCCTCCACCGCGGGTCCGCGTCGTAGGCATGGTTAGATACCGAGTAGTATTATGCCCCCTTTACACTACCACGATACCTTCCTTTCCTAATTGCGCGCCTGCAACCCACATGGAGCGAACGTACGCACGCCCACACACACGCCGCTCCGCGCACTCCAACTCAACTCACGTTATGATCGCGCACCTGTATCACACACGGAGTGAACACACGCGACACCCACTCTCGCGCCGCTCTGCGCAGCGCTCCCCCGAGGCGAGCCGCAGCACTACACTCACCCCTGACTACTCGCGTTATGATCGCGCACCTGTATCGCACACGGGGTGGACGCACGCACACACACGCAGCTCCCCACTCGACACACTGCTCAACAAGATCACGCGAGACCACGCTTCGCTATTAATGATTTATTATCTGCTACTCGCGAATTGATGCTAAGTCAGTATGAGTCGACGAGGCTGGCCTATCCTACTTCCCCTGGGCCTATTCCCTATTTATCGGCTTACGATACCCTACTTCACCTCCCCACTCACTGTTTGGTGCCCACGGTGGTTCGCTGCTCCCTGTGCTAACAGCGCACCTCGATGCGTCGCACGGACGTCCGGGTCGCTGGCTGGAGCTGCGGCTGGTCCTCTGGCCTGGAGAAAAGAGAGCTATTTCTCGTTTGTGCCCCCTTTTTATCCTCCCTACATCAAAGGGATGCGGCTACGAACGGGATGGTGTCCCTCAGCCCTTCCCTAACAATGAGCTCGCGCCAGCTTGCACGCGCACGGTGGCTCCGCGGCGCCTCCACGGCGCTTTTGTTATGCTAATCGGATGTGCTGCGGCGCCGATTCCAAACACGCTCCTTTGGAGTGAGCAGGTAGGAACTTGGTTGGACAGCGCATTCGTGCACGACAGAGAGACCAATAATTCCTGGTGGGCAGTGTGGAACATTGTTCCTACCTGTATTAATCTCCCTCTCATGCATGGCGCCGTGCTCCTGCGCACCCTAAACTATGCCGCCCCGTCCCTCCTCCGCCTGTCTCGTCGACCCGTGGGGGTGTGTGTGGGGGGATGCGCCTCAACCGCGGTGGCCGAATGCCCCACGCCGCGGCCATACCATATTAAGGCTGGTCGCAGCGCCGCGGCGCAACGTAGCACGGGGGAGGCCGTCCAATTTCCTGATCGCCGGAAACCGTGAGAGTTAATCCCGATAAGGGTTTCTCGGATAAAAACCGGTCGATCAGGTGATCTCCCCTTCCAGCTCTATGGGTGGGGGAAAATGCGTGCGGGTGTGTTCATGTGAGGTGAGGTGAGGGGGGCGAGGGGTTGGCTCCGTTGCTTGGTGGTGGCGAGGTCGGGGCGCCCGCCGAACGGCTTCGTGGCGGCGGCATCACATTGACAATTCCAAGCATAAGAGTATGCATATTAGAGTGTTATGTTTTTGTTTAGAAATTAAAGTTGGTTAACACAGAAGTGTCTGAGTGGTTCCTTCCTAAGTTCATGCATAATGATCTTAATTAAAAGAACTGTATCCTTTGGCGAGATCTGAATTCTGAGACCTGATAGAATTACACCAAAACATAATCAGTTAAAGTTAAAGCGAGAAACTTTTTTATTATCACAATTAGTAAGAAGACAAGTTTTTTCACGGACCAGGGGGGGGGCGGGGGGGGATGGTTTCATGATGATTCAAGCGCATATTTATTGTGCACTTTATATTATTATTACATTGTAATGTGAAATAATTATACAACTCGCCATAATGCAGAATCAGTGGTAGCTCTGAGCTTGTTTTCCTGTAACTAGATGGTCCCATCTGGGGGTGATGGGAGACCGTGACACCCGACGTGTGTTGCCTATGTCCAGTCTACTCCATAATCTCGTTTTGGTTGCTGTCACTGCAGAAAACCCTGCTTCACAAAGATGGGATGTTGGAAATCGAGGCAGGCTTTTCAGTACTTTTGTGGCAATCTCAGGATTTTCCACCTTGACTTTAATCCAGAACGTATAGAGATTTGAAGTTGTCTCAAACATACTTTTAATGCCACCTTCATTTGCGATCTCAAGCAGTTGATCCTCTTCTAGCACAGACAAAGTCGATTCACCTGGCTTGTTCACAAATGGGTTGCGGATCCATTCCTTCCCAGGTCCGGGGGTCTTTTGTGGTTGGGAAGTAATGCTCAAACTCTTTTAAAAGCTGTGTCTGTGTATCTCAAGTAGATGTCTGTGTGTCACATTTGTATGTGTGTAGGGCTGTGTGTGTGTCAGTCTATCTATGTGTGTCTAAGTCCATGTGTGTAGGGCTGTGTGTGTGTCAGTCTATGTGTGTCTAAGTCCATGTGTGTGTGTCTTAGTCTATGTGTGTGTGTGTCTTAGTCTATGTGTGTGAGTAAGTACATATGTGTGTTTACATCAATGTGTGTGTGAGTCCACGTATGTCTGTGTGTGAGTCGCTGTATGTGCGTACGTCGATATATGTGTGTGTAACTCCATGTGTGTATATCTCAAGTGGATGTCTATGTGTGACAGTCTGTATGTCTGTGTACGGCAATGTGTATGTCACTCTATGTATGTGTGTGAGTCGCTGTATGTGTGTACGTCCATATGTGTGTGTAACTCCATGTGTGTGTATATCTCAAGTGGATGTCTATGTGTGTGTCAGTCCATATGTGTGTGTTTAAGTCGATGTGTTTGTGTGCGTGTGTGTTAGTTGCTGTGTGTGCATGCCTCCATGTTAGTGTAAGTCCATTTCTTTGCGTGTCTGTAGGCCCATGTGTGCGTCTTAGTCCATGTGTGCGCTTTATTGACCTGCTCAAGGCCTATGATACCATCAGTAGGCCTGGACTCTGGGTTGTTCTTCGTGCTTTCCGAGTTCCTCACCCACTGATCACCATCCTTAAGGACCTTCATGATGGTGAGCGGGCCCGGGTAAAACTACGTGGCCGGGAGTCAGAGCCTTTCCCTGTACACTTTGGGTGCGACAGGGATGTCCTCTGGCTCCCGCATTATTTAACATCTATTTGACCACGTAGTTCGTGAAGCCTTCAATAGCTGTACCGTAAGAATTTCCATTTGGTATAGATACAATGGGAGGCTGATCGATGCCCGGGTGCGGTCAAGGGATGGCTCCCTATTGCTCAGCTACATTATGTATGCCGATAATCTGCTAATTGCTGCTCACTCGGAGGAGGAGTTCTCGATGCCGTTGCTGAACCTGGAGCTTGCCACCAAGAGGTGGGGCCTTACCATCAGCCCCACCAAAACGAAGCACCTGCCTGGGTATTTTGTACCATCGGACACTCCATTCCCACAACTCCCGAAGGGTGATGGGGCAGTTGTGGAGACAGTGGAGAGTTTCCCATACCTTGCCAGTCTGCTAATGACCAGCTCTGGTTTAACAGCAGAGGTCTCACTCAGAATCAGTTGAGCCGGATTATCTTTTCATCGGTTGTGTAACACTGTTTGGAAGCTACCTGCTCTATCACTCCGCACGAAGCTTCAGGTCTTCTCGGCCACGGTCATTCCCTCCTCTATGCTTCTGAAACTTGGACCCCCTCTAATGGAATATCTTCGCCGGTTAGAAACATTTAGGATGGCCTGCCTACGATGCATCCTGGGTTTAACCAGGCTGGATTGTGTGAAGAGCTCACAAATCCTTGAAAGATCTGGGCAAAGTCCTATCCGTGAGCTCCTCCAGCAGGTCATGTAGCCCGCATGCCCAGCCACCGCATGCCTAAACAGCTTTTGTTCGGCCGGATCGAAGGGGCTAAACGGCCGTGGCACGCGCTGGAGAAGAGATGGAGTGATGTGGTACAGGAAGACGTGGAGCTGAGTGGACTTGCCGATGACTGGTACCAGCCATGTCAAGATCGGCCTCTGTGGAGGAGGCTCGTGAAGGACGCTACTGGTCAGTTGAAGGCAATCGCCCTCCAACAACAACGGAGGGCGGAGGAGCGACGCTCACAACAACGAGCGGAGCGAAGGGCGGCTAAAGCACAGCGAGTTGCCACAGTAGGGGCCACAGGTGGTGCATCAGCCAGTCGTCTCAGTCGACCTGTGCCATCTGGGTTTGCCCCGTGACCTCCTGCCAGCAGGCGTTCGACACTTCATGTGGCCTCAAGGTGCACATAGCCTGGCACAAGCGTTGTGGTGACGTCATCGCCACTTAGTGGCGAATGGCGGTTGTTGTTGTTTAGTCTATGTATGTGTGAGTGCATTTGTGTGTGTAACTCTGTGTGTGTGTCAGTCCATTTGTGTGTAACTACATGTGTGCCTGCCTTTTTCGCCCGGGCAACGTCGGGTACTTACCGCTAGTACCAAATAAATGAAACTGAAACTATCAACTGGCGGTTAATTAACAATTTATTCATAAATATAATCGCTAGTTCATTGTGACTGCTTCAGCATCCCCGCCTCATCACTGGACATGAGTCCGTCTCATTAACATAATTTATTCAGTTACACCGCCGCTCGTTGGGGGAGGGGTTTGTGTGTTCAAACCCTCTAGTGACGTCATGTCACCGCTTGCTTCCGCGTGACGTCACGGTATATCCGGAAGCTGCTGCACCGCGCGCACGCTCTAAGATCCGAGGTGAGAAGTTAACATCGTGGTTGTTGTTGTTGTCGTGGTGGTTGTTGTTTACCCAGGTAGAGCCTCTCTCCGTCTCTCTCTCGTAGGGATATCAATTGAGTAGCAGCGAGTATGGAATCGATGTCCAGGTTGGAACATTACAACGCGAGGCCTAGCCACGCGGGGCCTTGCCTCCTGCCCTCGCCTGATTGCATTTGCGTTAATCCTCTGCTTAAGTTTAATTCGTCTTCATCTGGCTCACTACTTCATGCGACCTCCTTTGCCAGTAGCAACATATAAGAAGAGGTTTTTCCCCTTTTTTGGCAACAAAACAGGTGTTAAGATATTTTTGGTTATTTCGGTAAAGTCACGCAGAAGGGAAATAAACAGGACCTTGCGGGGTGGGCTGGTAGGAATAATACTAATACCGGTACAGGGATATCGACCGCACACACACACACCGCACGCACACACGCACACGTAATGAAGTTGTGTTGCTACGCTTCCAGTTCGCCGTGAATAACGATCCGAAGCCCAATAGCGCCCATTCATCACGTCGCTCGAGTGGGCCGGACACGCACACACGCACACACACACGCACACAGTCGCACATATACAGACACGCACACACACGCGCATACACACGCACACACACGCACACAGTCACACATATACACACACGCACACACACGCGCATACACACGCACACACACGCACACAGTCACACATATACACACACGCACACAGACACGCACACACACGCGCATACACACGCACGCAAACACACACGCACGCAAACACACACGCACGCAAACACACACGCACACACACACGCGCATACACACACGCACGCACACACACACACGCACACACACACTCACACATATACACACACGCACACAGACACGCACACACACGCGCATACACACGCACGCAAACACACACGCACACACACACGCATACACACACGCACACACACGCACACATACAAACGCACCTCTCACCTGCAAGGCAGCGGTCGCCGCTTCTCCTCCCACATCTCTCGTCGCGGCAGCAGTAGCGATGGTGCAAGTTTGTTTTTATCATCAATTTCTCTTCCACCCCTCCCCGCCACTGTTCACCCACCAGAATAAATGAGTTCGCCCATAGTCAGTCGATCAATAATAGGTGGATTATTACATCGCAGCAGGATAAGGGCGTGGGGGGGCGACGGCTTGGGGTTGGCGTTCATCCAGCAGTGGATTTATCACGGCTGCGACCCTGAGTCACCGCGATCCTCGTGTCCTCCCCTAGGTCGACTCAGCCTAAAATGGCACACCGGGATTGGTGGCACAGACGTCTTGGCACACTCACGAAGCTTTCTCTGCACTCTGCCTCGCGAAGCCTTCTCTGCACTAGGCCTCGCGAAGCCTTCTCTGCACTAGGCCTCGCGCCGTGCTTTTCGTGCACAAATAAGGCGATTAAATGTATCTCTTCTCTGTGTTAATAAATGTATCTTGTCTCTGTGTTAAAAAAACGTGCTGCGTTTCAGTGAAGTAAATTTGAAGCGAAGTTTAAAGTTTCGCCGTGAGGCGCCGGAAGCGACGGCCATATTGTTTAGTTCACAGATCGCAGGGGGAGCGGGCGGCCATCTTGTCGGACAGACGGATGGACGGACGGACACATTAATCTATTGGTGGTCTGGTCCACTTCGTTCCTACCAGTATAAAGTAATACAATATGGGAACCTCATTTGCCAGTAAAAATATGATAATTGGTTTTTTACCCTTCTATCTGGCAACAAAAACTGACACCTTTTTACAAGGAGTCATGTTTGCATAGACCGCAATACCTGCAGTCAATACAAACAAAAGACAACTCTGATAATGTATGCATTGTTCTTGAAGTTGATTGGTCCACACTCGAGACAGCTTTCCTTAGAGCCTAGTCTCACATGGGTTGGACCAGATGACGCCAAAAAGCGTACAACTCAAAGACAATGCACCATCAGAGTATGAGAGCTCGGGGTAAGCATTTACACCATTGGAACCTCCTTTGCCGGTAGCAAAATATGATAATTGTTTTTTTTACCCTTTTATATATTTTTTTCATTGTTTTTCTTTACGTGACATTAGGTGTGAAAAACAGCAAGAATCTTTTTTTTACATTTTTTTTATTTTCTTGCTGTTTTTCCCACCTGATTGCTCGTGTTGCAGTCGAAACGTGAGAATTGTTTTATTTTTTATTTTATTGCTTTTCTTCTACGTGACTTTAGATGTGAAAAACAGCAAGATTTTAGGAAAATTTTAGAAAATTTTCTTGCTGTTATTCACACCTGATTGCTCGTGTTGCAGTCGAAACATGAGAATGTTTTTATTTTATTTATTTTATTATTTTTCTTCTACGTGACTTTAGGTGTGTTTTTCACACCTGACGATTGCTCGTGTTGCAGTCGAAACGTCGTGAGAATTTTTTTTTTTGTTATTTTGTTTTTCTTCTAAGTGACTTTAGGTGTGAAAAACAGCAAGAAATGATTTGAAAATTTTCTTGCTGTGTTTTTCACAGCTGACGATGATTGCTCGTGTTGCAGTCGAAACGTCGTGAGAATTTTTATTTTATTGTTTTTCTTCTACGTGACTTTAGGTGTGAAAAACAGCAAGAAATTTTTGGAAAATTTTGGAAAATTTTCTAGCCGTGTTTTTCACACCCGACGATGATTGCTCGTGTTGCAATCGAAACGTCGTGAGAAATTTTTATTGTTTCATATTTTTTTATTTTTTTATTTCCCTTCTTCTTGATGACTTTACCTTAAGAACCGAGATTATTAATCCCTGCAGTCACGAAAGCTTTAAATACAAATGTAGGTGTTAAGATGTTAAAACGCCGAACTGAAACCTTTTGCAAGGAATCGTGTCTGCATTAGCCACAATATACTCGCGATCAATATGCAAACAAAACACATGCTGTGATAATCTATGCATTGTCTGTGAAACTGATTGGTCCACACCAGAGACGGCTTTCTTTCGAGCCTAGTCTCAAACGGTGTTAGACCAGCAGCTTTCTCTCTCACCTGAAGACGATTGCTTGTGTTGCGATCGAAACGTCGTGATCTATTATTTTCAATGTTCGCGACTTGACCCAAAGAGTATTAATTCCTGCAGTCACGAAAGCTTTTAATCAATAAATAACTATGTAGTTTGATAAGCTCCCAATGCACCATTGGAACCTCCTTTGCCAGTAGTTAAATATGATGAATTTTTTTTACCCTTTTATCTGGCAACAAAACTGACACCTTTTTTTACAAGGAGTCATGTTTGCATTGACCACAATACCTGCGGTCAGAATGCAAACAAAAACACAATTTTGATAATGTATGCACTGTCTTTGAAATTAATTGGTCCACACCCGAGACAGCTTTCCTTAGAGCCTAGTCTCACATGGTGTTGGACCAGATGACGCCAAAAGGCGTACAACTCAAAGACAATGCACCATCAGAGTATGAGAGCTCGGGGTAAGCATGTACACCATTGGAGAACCTCCTTTGCCAGTAGCAAAATATGATAATTGTTTTTTTTACTCTTTTATCTGGCAACAAAACTGACACCTTTTTTGAGTTGTACGCCTTTTGGCGTCATCTGGTCCAACACCACATTAAATGTCCTGCAGGTATGCTGCAGGGCAGTTAATATATATTTTCTCTGCAACAACGATGAGGTCGGAAGAGCGACGCCAACATGAATAGGTTCCTAAAACCCAGCAAGACAGTGGGGAACACAGCTGGTTCATCTGTCAGTCATCCCTTGACACCTGGATCATTCTTATTACCTGCTGACAAGGAATCCACACTTACATGGTCTTAAATTTCACCTATCATGGCATTAGCACTGGGATAAGGTTACTTGCAATTCGTCATGAATGGTGGATTTTTGTTTATATATGTTAATGATGCATGTGAAATGTAAGTGTTTTTAAGAGTTTATCTTTGTGGGGAGCTGTGGTGCAGTTATTTCACTGTATTAGGAACTCATCAATTAGTTTGATTATCACCGCCAGCAAACATGATTGATAAGTGAAAGCTGAATTGCTTGTGGGCCTCTGCTATGTTGATTGATCTTAAATTAATTACATGGTGAAGGGAGGAAGCATCAATACTGAGCAGATGAAGGCGGCCAGGCATGGTTCTGGACACACCACCACTTTTTACCATGCCAGTGTGTGACAGTGTCAAGTTTGTATTTGCAGTAAATTATATTAACTATTGAACATGGAGGTTAAATCAAAACAAACGCTTATTTTAGTTTCCCTCTGGAACTTTTTGGAAGAATGGAAACAGGAAATTAACAGCACATATGCTGCTGAAGTTAGATCTGTTCATCCAAGCATTCAAGCAAATCTGAGCCTGGCTCCACACCTCTAAAGTTGCGATTGAACATTTATTGATGCATTTCTGCATAATAAAAATAGTATTATTCCCAACAGCCTTTGCCTATGTTAGCTGATATTTGCTTTTATAAATACTACTTTTGCAGCCAGGCAGCTGAAATTGTGTTCTTGGTGTTTTGGATTAATATTTATTTTGAAGATACTAGGGCTTCCAGGCATATTTATAACCATTTGCCCTCTCATCGTTTGCCTTAACAGCCCGTGTGATGAATTTGGGGATAATCCTGAATATATGAATAAATATAGACGTGTAAGTCATGTGTGACTCTGTATATATTCATTCCTCTGTGCCTCGATACTAATGAAGATGGTGTGGACATTTTTTTCTGTCTGCAGCTGATGCTTCTTCTGATGCTTCCTCTGCAGAATTGGTCTGATGGAGCAAAGGCACTCAGCGCAGCTCGGTACACAAGGACAACAATGGGACCAGTATGCAAGCAGCATGGATTGTACTGGAACTTTTACACAGGACCAGAGATCTCCAACGGGAGAGAAACCCTTCAATTGCACTGTGTGTGAGAAGGCATATTCAAGTTCATCTTATCTTAAAATACACCAGAGAACACACACAGGAGAGAGACCCTTCAAGTGCAGTGTGTGTTGGAAGGCATTTTCAAGTTCAATTTATCTTAAAAAACACCAGAGAACACACACAGGAGAGAAACCCTTCAAGTGCAGTGTGTGTGAGATGGCATTTTCACAGTCATCAAATCTTAAAATGCACCAGAGAACGCACACAGGAGAGAAACCCTTTATGTGCAGTGTGTGTGGGAAGGCATTTTCAAGTTTGTCTTGTCTCAAAATACACCAGAGAACGCACACAGGAGAGAAACCCTTTACATGCAGTGTGTGTGGGAAGGCATTTTCAAGTTTGTCTTGTCTCAAAATACACCAGAGAACACACACAGGAGAGAAACCCTTCAGGTGTAGTGTGTGTGGGAAGGCATTTTCATTTTCATCTGATCTTAAAAAACACCAGAGAACACACACAGGAGAGAAACCCTTCAAGTGCACTGTGTGTGAGAAGACATTTTCATTTTCACCTGATCTTACAAAACACCAGAGAACACACACAGGAGAGAAACCCTTCAAGTGCACTCAGTGCGGGAAGGCGTTTGCACAGTCAACACAGCTTAATACACACAAGAGAACAAACAAGCATCAGAAGACCCCCAAGGAGTGTAGTCTGAAATCGACTTGTGAAAGTCAAAGTGCTGCAATGAGCCCATCCCTCCTGAAAAAAGAACCAGAAGTAAATTCCAGCTTGGACACTATGAAATGTATCAAGGTGAAATTTGCAGAGGCGAAGGTGAAATCTGAAGAGGTGATAGTGAAGAGCGAAGAAGTGAAGGTAAAATGTGAAGATGAACATTCAACTCCAAAATCGGACCTTCACATCAATGGATGCAACGTGAAGCAGGAGGAGAATTCTGACTGTGAGGCAGAGCGAGGCAACTCCCAGCAGTTTGTTGATGTGGAGGTGTGGGTAGACTTCTTGGACAATACAAAGTCAAATGGAGAACCTGTAGATGTGTAAGCTTGAGACAATGAAGCTACAATAGTTTCACATTTGTCACAGGCATTAAATGAAAAAAACGTCAAGATGAACACTCCATTCCTAGGTTCAACCTGCAGAGCAAGAGCGGTCAGCATTTGCGGACCTGTGGGTTGGGTAGATCTCTAACTAGGAGCGAGAGCCAATAAGCTCCCAAGCATTCACTATGTTATAATAATATTAGCATATATATGGTGCTTGCTTAATTGCCTCAGCAACTCGGAGTTTTGTATCATACCTCATCACAAAGACTCAAAAGAGCACGCCTAGTGGCGTCCTCTGGATTAACACCGTTTGATACTAGGCTCGCAAGAAAACTGTCTCTGGTGTGGACCAATCAGTTTCAAAGATAATGCATATGTTGTGCATGGACTGACAGAGTATCGCTGAGAGTTTTATTCTACATTCATCCTGATGCTTTGAGTTGCTTGCAAAGTCAAGGATTGCGATAAGTTTTATTGTACTAAGCTTTCACAGTTGTTCAAGAGGTGTGCGAATACAATTTACAAGTTTTGAGAGTGAGTTCCAGCTCCCACGAGCAGCTGCGATCGGCAGGCTCCGCCGAACCTGCCCCCGTGACTGGCACATCGTCAACGAGCTGCACCAGCAGAAGCCACGAGTCTACAAAATCAACGCAGAGTTGACTTACTGCAAGCAGCAAGCTCTGGGGTGGGACTCTGCAATCAACCAAGGATGAAGAAGTTTGCCGAGTAGCAATGGGTCACCGAGTACGAGCTCGGCGCTGACAGAAGAATTATCGCTCAAAGTTATTCAACGCTGAGTGCCAGCTCCTACGAGCAGCTGCAGCCCGAGAGATAGAGTGACGAGCAACGACGATCAATCAACCGGGAGAAAGGGTGGAAGCCCAAGCATCGACCAAGCCAGCATCTTAGAGAACCAGCTGCACGCGCAACCAGGCATCGCCAGAGAGCACGGAGCCAGAGAGAGAGCGCAGCAGCGCCACCGAGCAAGGGTGTCAGCTGCCAGCGGACGAGCGGCGAGCGCTGTCGAGCACCTTCAAAGACAAGCATCGTGCCGACTCGGCTCATCCAGCAGGGGAAAAAACCATGAATAGCCACCCGTGAGAAAGAGGAGAGCGCCGTGGGTTCGACCCACACACACCGACCAGCACCAGCTGTGAACCAAGACAAGAGTGAGGAACGGCGACCAGCAGACGAGCTGCGGGCGCTATCTGACGACGGAATCATCGCGCACCGCCGACGGCGAGCGTCGTTCCGACTCTTCATCCAGCAGTGGGCAGCAGCTCCAGCTGCGGCCGAGAGAGAGAGAGTGAGGAAGCTGTGTGTGTGACCCTCCCCCACACTCACATACTCGCCACGTATCACCCAGCGTCTGCTTGACGCGAAGAATTGATCAAGGAGACAAAACCACCAAACACACACCGCACATACCGGGACTAATAATGAGAAGAATAATCATAAGAGTGCGTCAACTATTAGCTGATAATGAAGAACATTGCTGCTTATCGAGTCACGTGGATACGGTCTTTGAGAAGTATTTTAGTCGTTCTTTTTGTTAATTTTAACTGTACCGATGAATTCATTGACGAAACTTAACGTTTAGAAACCTACGTTACGAATCCACACACTCACAGTAAGACTATTGTGTTGAAATCTTTCTTTTGATCACAGAGTCTTGCTCGCGAATTTATTGAAGCCTTTGCCAATTGATAAGCATTTGCTGAAGCAGGCATGTGATGCCGCCGCCACGAAGCCGTTCAGCAGGCGCCCCATCTACAACCTCGCCACCACCAAGTGACGGAGCCGACACTGCGTCCCCCTCACCTCACATGAACACACCCGCACGCATTTCCCCCCCCCCATAGAGCTCCGAGGGGAGGTCACCTGACTGACCGTTTTTATCCGAGAAACCCTTATCGTGATTAACTTTCACGGTTTCCGGCGACCAGGGAATTGGACGACCTCCCCCGACGCTACTTTGCACCGCGGCGCTGCGACCGGCCTTAAGATGGTATGGTCGCGGCGAAGGGCATTCGGCCACCGCGGTTGAAACGCATCCCCCCACACACACCCCCACGGGTCGACGAGATAGGCAGAGGAGGGACGGGGCGGCATAGTTTAGCGTGCCAAAGAGGGCTCGAGTGCGTAGGTGCCATTGTTAGGGAAGTTAAAGGATAGGGCTGGAATTGCAAATAATCAGAGAGGCGACTCGGGCGCATAGTGCGCAAGTGATGGGGCAGGTGGTGGAGACATGCGGAGGCTCCGCGCTTAACTTCCACAGCAGGCCGTGGTGATGGACGCCGCTGCATAATGCGCAAGACCAAGGCGCCATGCATGAGAAAGGGATTAATTAGAATAAACGCCGCAACACGCAACGCATCTGATTAGCATAGCAAGGGCGCCCGGAACCGCCGTACGCGTGCTGACGGGCACGCGCCCATTGTTAAAGAAAAACTGGGAGGGGGCCGCCACCACGCTCGGAGCCGCATCCCTTTGATGTAGGGAGGATAAAAATGGGGCGCAAAGGGGATATCGCTCTCTTACTCCAGCACCAGGCGACAAGACGCTCTCCAGCCAGCGACCCGAACGTCCGTGAGACGCATCGAGGTACGCCGCGAGTACGGGATCAACGGACCGCTGTGGGCACCTAACAGTGAGTAAGAAGGTGAAGTAGGATCATAGCCGATAAATAGGGAATAGGTCCAGGGGTAGTAGAATAGGCCAGCCTCGTCGATTCATACTGATTTAATATCAATTCCCAGGTGGTCGAAAATAAATCATTAATAGCTAATCGTGGCCTCGTGTGATCTAGTTGAGAGGTGTGAACGGGTGTGGTGCTGTGTACACAGTGGTTCGCCACGTGAGTGAGCGCTGCGCGGAGCTGCGCGTGTGGGTGCGCGTGTGTTCACTACGTGTATGATACAGGTGCGCGATCACAACGTGAGTGTTCAGTGGTGAGTGAGTGCCGCGGGGAGCTGTGTGCGGGAGTCCGCGTACGTTCGCTACGTGTCGGATACGGGTGCGCATTGGTAATGTGGTTATTCGACGTGGAGGCGAGTGCCGCGCAGGGCTGTAGACGGGCACACGCTCGCAGCGTGCGAGAGCTGTACGTAGCGGTGTAAAGAGGGGGAGTATGGCATTTGATTGATGATGCTGTGCGCACGTATGCTTGCAGCGTGGGAGCGCTGCGTGAGGCCGTGTGGGTAGGGGTGTCGCGTCCGAAGGCCGGCGAAACCCTAGCGGGTAATAGAGCGGTGCGGCAACGCAACCGGAATAGGGGATGCGTGAGGGGGAGACCCTGGGGGCCAACGGCCCCCACAGGCACACTGCCGCACACCATTGTTCCAAGACGTTTGGTTAATTACATAATCTACCAATGAATTCATTGAGGTCTACTTTTGCATTTGGGACATGTTTCATTATTGCCGTTCGTATGAATATGGTCACATTTATTTTTAAGGACTTTTTCCTATGCTCGCGTTAGTCTGAGAAATTAACCGATTGCTCTGTTACCCAGTTTAACAACGTAATCAGTGAGGGTTAAATGTACGGATCAATGAGCACATCTCCAGGAGTACTGTGACAATTCCAAGCATAAGAGTTTGCATATTAGAGTGTTATATTTTTGTTTAGAAATTAAAGTTGCTTAACACAGAAGTGTCTGAGTGGTTCCTTTCAAAGTTCATGCATAATGATCTTAATTATAACAACTGTATCCTTCGGCAAGATCTGAATTCTGAGACCTGATAGAATTGCACTAAAATAATCAGTAAAAGTTAAAGCGAGAATCACAATTAGTAAGAAGACATTTTTTTCACGGACCGGTGGGGCGGGGGGATGGTTTCATGATAATTCAAGCGCATTATATTTATTGTGCACTTTATTTATATTTTTACATTGTAATATGAAATAATGATACATCTCACCATAATGCAGAATCAGTGGGAGCCCTGAGCTTATTTTCCTGTAACTAGATGGTCCCATCTGGGGGTGATGGGAGACGGTGACACCCGATACGTGTTGCCTATGTCCAGTCTACTCCATAATCTCGTTTTGGTTGCTGTCACTGCAGAAAACACTGCTTCACAAAGATAGGACATTGGAAATGGAAGCAGGATTTTATGTGCTTTTGTGGCAATCTCAAGATATTCCGCCTTGACTTTAATCCAGAACGTATCGAGATTTGAAGTTGTCTCAAACATACTTTTAAGGCCACCATTTGCGATCTCAAGCAGTTGATCCTCTTCTAGCACAGACAAAGTCGATTTACCTGGCTTATTCACAAATGGGTCTATTCCCAGTTCGGGGGTCTTTTGTGGTTGGGAAGTAACGCTCAAACTCTTTTAAAAGCTGAGATAGGTTTTAATGCACCAGCTGGGAGAAAGGCCCTGGCTCAGTCTCTTTCAAAATCTCTGCTAGTGTTTGAAACATGTCAAAAGTTCCAATGTTCACTCGTCGCCCCCATAATTCCAGTTTGGCTTTGAATGCAGCCACTTTATCTATCGAATTGAAAAGAGTTGTCGATCTACCCTGAAATGACACATTGAGTACGTTGAGCAGGCTTAATATGTCACACAAGTGAGCAAGTTTTTCGACCCATTCTGTGTCACTGAAATGTGCTGACAGTGGTGACTGTTTTTCTAAAAGATGTCTCTGGAGTGGCTCTCGCAACTCTCTGGCCAGTGATCTACCTTTAGAAAGCCATCTCACTTCTGTGTTTTAGAGATGATGTGTGGTGAGCGCACTGCGCTACGAACCCGGCGATCCGAGTCCGATTCCCGCTCACGGCCACCACGATTATTTTTACTGGTCCTGGGCTTCCCCTAGGTCGTCTCAGCCTCAAACGAGTAACTGATGTGGTGTGTGAACATCGCCACTGGGGAGACAAAGGCGGCCGGGCGTGGTGAATCCAAGTCCCGGGCGAAGCTAGTCTTCAATATATGAAAGGAAAATTTGTGAATGTGTTGTTTGTTCAAAATGTTTAGCTGTACTTCCCGACATGCAACAAACTTGAAATTTGCCATGTGGGTACTTTGCAAAATGTACACCATGCACAAATTATACAAATATAAACTTTTGTTTTTTGGGGGGGGGGGGATGACCATGAAGTGTGTGGTGAGAATCGATATCTGCTGAGCGTTTGTGGTATCGATTAAAAGGGAATAGGCCGATTCTAAATAAATCTACAACCTTCGATTCCTTTGCGCGATCTAAAGAATCGAATATTGACGCGCGAGCGTAAGTTTATTTTCCACCGCGCGTTGGGATTTATTTAAATTTATTTACATTTTATTTAAAAAATTATGTTTTTAATTTTCTTGAGAAGTTTTTCAATACATTTTCCCCCCAGGCAGTACCTAATAAATGAAACTAACTATCAACTGGCGGTTAATTAACATAATTTATTCATAAATGATATCGCTAGTTCATTGTGACTGGTTCAGCATCCACGCCTCATCACTGGACATGAGCCCGTCTCATTAACATAATTTATTCAGTTACACTCCCGCTCGTTGGGGGAGGGGATTGTGTTGAACACCGCAAGTGACGTCATGTCACCTCCTGCTGCCGCGTGACGTCACGAGCTGCTACACCGCGCTCGCTCTCACAGATCCGAGGTGGGAAGTTAACATCGTTGTTGTCGTTGTGGTTGTTGTTGTTTACCCAGGTAGAGCCTCTCTCCGTCTCTCTCTCGTAGGGATATCAATTGAGTAGCAGCGAGTATGGAATCGATGTCCAGGTTGGAACATTACAACGCGAGGCCTAGCCACGCGGGGCCTTGCCTCCTGCCCTCGCCTGATTGCATTTGCTTTAATCCTCTGCTTAAGTTTAATTCGTCTTCATCTGGCTCACTACTTCATGGGACCTCCTTTGCCAGTAGCAACATATAAGAAGAGGTTTTTTCCCCCCCTTTTTTGGCAACAAAACAGGTGTTAAGATATTCTTGGTTCTTTCGGTAAAGTCTCGTAGAAGGGAAATAATAAAGTAATACAATTTCTTGCTGTGGATTTCACAGCTGACGATGATTGCTCGTGTTGCAGTCGAAACGTGAGAATTTGTTAATTTTTTTAATTATGTTTTTCTTCTACGTGACGGTGTGAAAAACAGCAAGAATTTTTTAAAAAATTTTTATGAAATTTTCTTGCTCGTGTTGCAGTCGAAACGTCGTGAGAATTTTTATTTATTTAATTTTCCTTCTACGTGACTTTAGGTGTGAAAAACAGCAAGAAATTTTTGGAAAATTTTCTTGCCGTGTTTTTCACACCCGACGATGATTGCTCGTGTTGCAGTCGAAACGTCGTGAGAAATGTTTTTATTTTATAGTTTTTCTTCTACGTGACTTTAGGTGTGAAAAACAGCAATACATTTTTGCCGTGTTTTTCACACCCGACGCTGATTGCTCGTGTTGCAGTTGAAAAGTCGTGAGAAATGTTTTTAATTTATTGTTTTTCTTCAACGTGACTTTAGGTGTGAAAAACAGCAAGAAATTTTTGGAAAATTTCGGATAATTTTCTTGCTGTGTTTATCACACCTGACGATGATTGCTCGTGTTGCAATCGAAACGTCGTGAGGATTTTAAATTGTTTCATATTTTATTATTTCCCTTCTACTTGATGACTTTACCGAAAGAATCAAGAATATGAATCCCTGCAGTCACGAAAGCTTTAAATAAAAATGTAGGTGTTAAGATGTTTAAACGCCGACCTGAAACCTTTTGCAAGCAATCGTGTCTGCATTAACCACAATATACTCGCGATCAATATGCAAACAAAACACATGCTGTGATAATCTGTGCATTGTCTGTGAAACTGATTGGTCCACACTAGAGACGGCTTTCTTTCGAGCCTAGTCTCAAACGGTGTTAGATCAGAGGACAGCGCCAAAAGGCGTACACAGCACAAAGACAACGCCACCATCAGAACAATGACAGCTCGGGGTGAGCATCTACATCATGGGACCTCCTTTGCCAGTAGCAAAATATAAGAAGAGGCTTTTCCCCTTTTATAATTTAAAGATTTGTACAATTTTTGTTTTGGGATATTTTTTGTATATGGTTTCTCCGTGTTTATTTCAACTGGTTGGACCATCTCTAGCTCCGCACACCTACCTTGATGCACCCATCTCAGGCCTATATAAGACCTTATCTCAGCAGCTTTTTCTCTCACCTGAAGACGATTGCTTGTTTTGCGATCGAAACGTCGTGATCTATTATTTTCTATGTACGCGACTTGACCAAAAGACCCAAAGAGTATTAATTCCTGCAGTCACGAAAGCTTTAAATCAATAAATAACTATGTAGTTTGAGAAGCTCCCAATGCACCATTGGAACCTCCTTTGCCAGTAGCAAAATATGATAATTGTTTTTTTACCCTTTTATCTGGCAACAAAACTGACACCTTTTTTTTACCAGGAGTCATGTTTGCATTGACTACAATACCTGCGGTCAGAATGCAAACAAAAACACAACTCTGATAATGTATGCACTGTCCTTGAAATTGATTGGTCCACACCCGAGACAGCTTTTCTTAGAGCCTAGTCTCACATGCTGTTGGACCAGATGACGCCAAAAGGCGTACAACTCAAAGACAATGCACCATCAGAGTATGAGAGCTCGGGGTAAAAATTTACACCATTGGAACCTCCTTTGCCAGTAGCAAAATATGATCATTGTTTTTTTTACCCTTTTGTCTGGCAACAAAACTGACACCTTTTTTGAGTTGTACGCCTTTTGGCGTCATCTGGTCCAACACCATATTAACTGCCCTGCTGGTATGCTGCAGGGCAGTTAATATATATTTTCTCTGCAACAACGATGAGGTCGGAAGAGCGACGCCCACATGAATAGGTGGAGCGCTGGGTTCCTAAAACCCAGCAAGACAGTGGGGAACACAGCTGGTTCATCTGTCAGTCATCCCTTGACACCTGGATCATTCCCATTACCTCCTGACAAGGAATCCGCACTTACATGGCCTTAAATTGCACCTATCATGGCATTAGCACTGGGATAAGGTTACTTGCAATTCGTCATGAATGGTGGATTTTTGTTTATATATGTTAATGATGCATGTGAAATGTATGTGTATTTAAGAGTTTATCTTTGTGGGGAGCTGTGGTGCAGTTATTTCACTGCATTTTGAACTCAACAATTAGTTTGATTATCACCGACAGCAAACATGATTGATAAGTGAAAGCTGAACTGCTTGTGGGCCTCTGCTATGTTGATTGATCTTAAATTAATTACATGATGAAGGGAGGAAGCGTCAATACTGAGCAGATGAAGGCGGCCAGACATGGTTCTGGACACACCACCACTTTTTACCATGTGTGACAGTGTCAAGTTTGTATTTGCAGTAAATTATATTAACTATTGAACATGGAAGTGAAATTAAAACAATCGTTTATTTTAGTTTCCCTCTGGAACTTTTTGGAAGAATGGAAACAGGAAATTAACAGCACATATGCTGCTGAAGTTAAGATCTGTTCATCCAAGCATTCAAGCAAATCTGAGCCTGGCTTCACACCTCTAAAGTTGAGATTGAACATTTATTGATGCATTTCTGCATAATACAAATAGTATTATTCCCAACGGCCTTTGCTATGTTAGCTGAAATTTGCTTTTATAAATACTACTTTTGCAGCCAATAAGCCGAAATTGT